ATCTGTGAAGACTTTTTGCAGTGCATATGATGGATGAGCATAAAGATTGGATAGATATCATAGCTTCTCTGTCAGTAGTAGTATTTCTCCATCTTTGCTACACACACTTCTCTAATCTTCATATATGCTTGCTATTTTCAGACCTTTAAAATGTTGCCACAATTAAGGTGGGTGTGAAATAGTTCTCAATTTGTCTTAGATGACTATTAGAGATCATTGCACATATTAACAAACATTAGATTTCCTCCTACCTATTCATTTGTACATGGATTCTAAACAAAATAGAAGTTCTGGATGTGATAAAGATCATACCTCAAAACATAAAAAAAACTAAACTTAACAGAAATTATGTTTTGTGTGTAATGGTATTCTGAAATTAATCACTGGATTTAAGTGATTTCTTTAAGTAAAATTTAGTCATAATGGTTTCTATATCACTTCATTATTTGAAACAGATGATTTGTTTAAATTAAAAACTAGTTCCAATATGGATTTAATTTTTACATACTATTCTTATTAGCTATGTCTTTATCATTATGAACATTGCTAATGAGTTTTTCAAGTGAATTAATTTTGGTTATAACTATAAAATATATTATTTTTCTATACTTAAAATAGAGAAGAAAATTTAATCATAATCTCCCACACAAGTAAGAACAGCATTAATATTTTATAGCTATTTTATTTCTCTCCTTATTTATATATAAATCTCAAATTTCTATTTAAATATGAATATTATGTACAAGAGTATTTTGCTATTTCCCACACAATACAATGCAGTGAATATTTCTACACTGTCAAATATTATTTTGCAAGAGTATTTTAAATAACTCAGGAAATTCTATTATATAGATATGAGGTAGTTTAAACATTTCTTTACTTTTCTCTGTACATTTCTCATACTTAGGTCAACTTTCCAAGTAGAAGTGTAGATAAAAACCATCTTTATTTCTTACTGAAAAAATAGCAGCAATGGAAAATTTCTCTGGAATATGACTGGTTATAATATAATTTTCCTCCAACTGCTGAACTATTTTAAAATATTATTTCCTATCATCAAGCTATTACAATATGGAATGCCTCATTTTTCAAACATAATATGTGCATACACACTTGTGAATACTCCTACACATGTGTGCGCACACACTTCTCATGTTCTTTAGTTGAGGGATTAATATACAGGCTCAAATTTTGTCAAAGGAAACTTTAAGCCTATGGGTGCTTTATTATTTGAACAATTCTGTAATCACTCCAAAAACTGTTAATTTAGTTTACATTTTCTATACCGTAGCTTTGTTCAATGGTATGGCCAATTTTGTGGCCATACCTGGTTCTGCTCCAGGCTTACTCTGGGTTCAGTGCTCAGGGATCTCTTCTGGAGGGTCTCGGTACTGGAAATTAAACCCAGGCCAGCCAGATCCAAGCAAGAACTCAACCCTCCCATATTATCTCTCTAGATCCCTGCAGTGAAATTTTAAAAGTGTCGATACTGGCTGGAGCGACAGTACAGTGGTGTTTGCCTTGCATGCAGGCCAACCTGGGTTCGAACCCAGCAAGCTACCGAGAGTATCCCGCCTACATGGCAGAGCCTGGCAAGCTCCCTGTGGTGTATTCTATATGCCAAAAACGGTAACAACAAGTCTAACAATGGAGATGTTACAGGTGCCTGCTCGAGCAAATCGATGAACGACAGGAGGACAGTGCTACACAGTGCAATACTGCTTTTCAGTTGCAAAGGGTGGGGCTTTAATATGAAATCCTTTAAACTGACAACCATATTTTAAGGATTCCATGTTGACAAGTCCAACTTCCAGGTTGAAAGTGCCACCATTAATAGTGTAGCACTTTAGCACTGTCCTCCCGTTGCTCATCGATTTGGTCGAGCGGGCCCAGTAATGTCTCCATTGTGAGACTTGTTGTTACTGTCTTTGGCATATCGAATACGTCACGGGTAGCTTGCCAGGCTTTGCTGTGCAGGCGAGATACTCTCGGTAGCTGGCCGGGATCTCCAAGAGGGGCGGAGGAATTGAACCTGGGTTGGTCAGGTCGGCCGCGCGCAAGGCAAACGTCCTACCGCTGTGCTGTCTCTCTTGCCCTATTAATTAATAGTGTGAACAAAGTAAATCTCAGTGTCACACAAGCTGTCGAGTTTCTCACTAAACTAAACAAGTGCCATATTTTACTGAGTCTCAAATGCATAGATTGTTGCTGGGGAAACAGGGCAACTGCTGATACATCTGCTTAGCAAACATGAGACTCTGAGTTCAGTCTCTGGCATAGCCTGTCCTGACCCTCACCCTAGCACTACAGAAGATCCCTATAAAAAAACATAAATCATGCATGTATAATTACATATATCATATATTGTATCACTTGTATCATTTGTCATCCAGTTGTTCATGGATTTTCTAGAGCGGGTGCCAGTAACGTCTCCGTTTGTCCCTGTCGCATGCTAGCGTGGCCCAATGGCGTATTGGGGGCTCTTTCAGAGTCGGGGAATGAGACCCATTATTGTGACTGTTTTTGGCATATCAAATACGGCACAGGTAGTTTGCCAGGCTCTGCCATGTGGGTGGGATACTCTGGATAGCTTGCCGGGCTCTCTGAGAGGATATCATCTATTATACATATATAATTATTATATAAAATTCGTTTTTATATTCCAAATAAAGGTAATCCTATTAGAAACTTTCTCCAAAAATACAGTTGGTGGTTTTCTGTCTTCTTAGCAGGAAATAAAACAACAGCACATCTCCTAGCCGATGGCTTCCTACATTCTTTAGATTTTGGTAGTGTTGGTGGTGCATTTACCAAGACTTTCCATAGACTAACAACCAGACAAGGTAGAAACCATTCTCCTTGAGCTTGGGCTGGCGTTCTAAAGCAGTTACATGTTTGATTCCTCTGCCTACCTACCTGAACAATCTGGATGTGCACCTTAGACCTAGCTTTTATTCACTCTGAGTTGCATTGTTCACTGCACCCATATTGTTGCATTCAGCATTACCACATATTTTTCTATCTATGATATAGGATTCACATGCTTATGCTTATGCATAAACATTAATATAGCCACTCAACCATTGATGGGTGGGTTTTTTTGTGTGTGAAAGACAATTATTAATTTAGGTAGAGTAAAGGCATACAAGAGTTCAGACAAGGTGTTCTTTTCTCAGATTCTGGTAAAATTCTATTTCTTGATATAAATTTCTGGAATGCAGTTATTGTTTACTTTGTCAAAATGTGGAATTCCAAATAGATGATATATGAAAACTTTTCTGTTTGTTCCACTGTGTTATTTTTACTGCTGTGACAAAGACGAGAAAGCTGAGAGTTACATACCAACTTCTAATTATTTTGCACGAACCCATTGGCCAGAACTAGTATTCTGTCTTCTGATGCATGTATAAGATTAAGGACTGTGTCGTGGGGCATCATAGCACAATATTATTGTGTACATATTTTTCTTTCTTTACACATTCATCGATTTGCTCAAGCGGGCCCAGTAACGTCTCCATTGGAGACTTTGTTGTTACTGTGTTTGGCATATCGAATACGTCACGGGGAGCTTGCTGGGCTCTCCGAGAGGGGTGGAGGAATCAAACTCGGGTCGGCCATGTTGGCTGCGTGCAAGGCAAACGCCCTACCGCTGTGCTATCACTCCAGCCTGGTAAAGAGCAAATTGGGCCCATCTAGCTCAGATGATGGGGCTTTGTCTAGGATTTTATATATATGAATAAAATTTATTGATAAGGCAGGAAATAACTCAAAAAAATATTGTTTGTACTGTAAATCACACTGCAAAAAAATTTAAAAACACATCTTCCATTAAAGCAGGTGAGAAGCGACTGGGTGGGGGTTGGTGGAGGGAATTAGGCATTGGGGAAGGAAGCAGCATTGAAATATTGTATGTCTGACAAGTGGTACTACATGGAAAATATCATGCTAAGCAAAATGAGTCATAAAGAAAAGGACAGATATAGAAATATCTGGGTAACGTAAAGTAACAAAATAGGAGACTAACACCCAAGAATAGCCAATAGGTACTAGGAGGTTTACTCCATGGCTTGGAGGGCAGCCACATACACGCTAGGGGAAAAGGCAGCTCAGATAGAGAAGGCAGCACCAAATAAAGGGTGTTGGGAGGATCCTCCCATCTAAGATGGGAGATGCATGTTGAAAGTAGGCTATAGACTGAACATGATTGCCTCTCAATGACTCTTTTTCAAACCACAGCACCCAAAAGGAGAGAGAGAACAAAAGGGAATGCCCTGCCACAGAGGCAGGGTGGGATGGGGGAATGGGGGGTGGGAGGGATACTTGGATAAGTGGTGATGGAGAATGGGCACTGGTGGAGGGATGGGTACTCCATCATTGTATAACTGAAACTCAAGCACAAAAATTTGTAAGTCTACAACTGTACCTCATGGTGTGTTACTAACAAAAATTTAAAAAAAGAAATATTGTATGTCTGAAACCCAATCAGGAATAACGTTGTGATTTCATGGTGACTAAATTTTTAAATATCTAAAAGAAATTAAAAAGAATTAAAAATGCTGTTTATGGAGGTCAAAGATGTTCCCTGGCATAGCTTGAAGTGCAGGAGCAGCCAGTGGAAAGGGACTCAAGTGGTAGATGCAGCCTCACAGTTTTACGATCTATCAAGACTAGTGAAGGGACCAGAAGTCAGGACCTTGGGTAGGAGAGAGATGTTCCAAGAGAGGATTGAAATTATTTGCTATTGGGTTAAAAAGAGGACGAGGCGATGAATCACGTCTTCGGTTTGAACCAGTGGGTGCCTTTAGAGAGATACAGGAAAAGGCACCCTTCAAGTTGCTATTGCTTTGGGCTCTGGTAAGTTAGACATATTTCATCGAAATCGACTGTGAAACATTTCAGAGAAGATTTGGTATTTTTGAACTTGTAATTGGCATGTTTCTTATGTGCTTATCTCTTTCCACTTAAAAAATGTCTTTGACTTCGCATTTTTATTTTAACAGATGAGAAACTCAAAGGGGAATATTATTACAATATCGTCTCACTAAAGATCTACTTTTAAAGCTATACTACGACTGAGTGCTGCCTGGAGCTATTATTGTAAAATTAATTTGAAATAGTTGTAAGAGAAACTGTGATTTAATTGAAGTTCTTATTGTATTTGCCTTGAAATACTGAACAAAGTTGTAATTTTTGGTTTATTTTCATTAGTCAATCTAGTAAACACTGAGCATTAAAATTGATTTACCAGCTCTTTGTATGTTTTCATATTTGAACTTTAACCAAATACTTGAAATATAATTTATATTCCACACAAGGTAAAGGTAAAGGCCTTTCCATTGAACATCGATTTGCTCGAGCGGGCCCAGTAACGTCTCCGTTGGAGACTTTGTTGTTACTGTGTCTGGCATATCAAATACGTCATGGGGAGCTTGCCAGGCTCTGCCGTGCGGGCAAGATACTCTCGGTAGCTTACCGGGCTCTCCGAGAGGGGCGGAGGAATCGAACTCGGGTCGGCCATGTTGGCTGCGTGCAAGGCAAACGCCCTACCGCTGTGCTATCACTCCAGCCACAAAGGATATTTTTAAAATATATACATTGTTTTAAATATAATACATTGATGAGGACCTAAAATAATTGCTCACAGCGCTGGTAACAGAGATTAAGCAAGCACTTGCCAGTGAAATTAAGCAATCACTAGGTGAGAAATTCAACCAACTCGAAAAAGAAAAAATTTTTAGAAGATGAGAGATTACATACAAATGAAAGTGAAGGAGCTAAAGAACACACTAGCAAGCCATAGGAGTATAATCTCACAGGGGAAAGTTATGTAGAGAAAATTGAAGACAAATTACAGGCCAGCATTAATAAAGATGTTGAAAAGAAAAAGAGAAACAAAAGAATGGAAAAACAAAGACAGGAAAACAAAGACAGGAAAATTAATCTTCAAATTATAGGAATCCCAGAAAGTAAAGAATAAAGGAAAAGGGGCGAAAAGAGTAGTGGGAGATATAGTAGCTGAAAACTTCCCCACTTTCTGGAAGAAGGCAGCTGAGCAGATTCAAATCAACAAAAGACGTGAAGAACCTATACCATGAAAACTTCAACACACTTAAGAAAGAAACTGAAGATCTTAGAAAATGGAAAAATCATTTCATGCTCATGGATGGGAAAAATCAACATTGTCAAAATTACCATCTTACCTATGCTATATAAAGATTCAATGAAATCCCTATTCAAATTCAGACAACATTCTTCAGGAACTAAGAACAGCCAGTTAAGTTTGTGTGGAACCAAAAAAGACCCTGCATAGCCAAAACCATACAGAAAAATAAGAAACTGATAGGCGTATCACTACCTAAGTCGAATTTATGCTATTTAACCAGAGTAATCAAGACACAGTTGTGCTGGAATAAAAAAAAATTCCCTGAACAATGCTCATAATAGTATAACCAAGGACAAACCCATATATATATATATATATATATATATATATATATATATATATAGTCATCTAATATTTGACAAAGGAGCTGAGGGCATAAAATGGAATAAACACAGCCTTTTCAACAAAGGCGTTGGGAGAATTGGATAACCACGTGCAAGAAATTAAACCTGGATTCAGAACTCCCACCTTACTCAAAAGTCAACTCAAAATGGATCACAGGCCTTGAGATAAGACTTAAATCTATACAGTATAAAGAAGAAAATACAGGCATAATGCTCCAAGACCTAGATCTCAAAGTAGTCTTCAATGATACAATTCCATTGGCAAAAGCTACAGAATCAAAGTTAAACAAATGCTACTACGTAAGACAAAAGTTTCTATATGGCAAAAGAAGCATGGGCTAAAACTAAATTGGAGCTAACTGGATGGGAGAAAATATTTGCACTCAGCAATCAGATAAAAGGTTAATATCCAGGATCTATAATGTATTCACAAAGATCAATAGCAAATCCCATCAAAATCCCCATCAAAAAACAGAATAAATGAACAGACATTTCTCTGAGGAAGACCAATGGAAGGCCAACAGGCATATAAAAATGACTCATCATCGCTTATTATTAGGGAAATTCAAATCAAGATGATGAGGAGATACCATTTTATACCAACGAGAATGGCACATGTTAAAAATGCTGGTAACAATCTGTGTTGGTGGGAATGTGGTGAAAAAGGAACCCTCATCCACTGCTAGTGGTAATGTTGTCTGGTCCAGCCCCTATGAAAAACAATATGGAAGGCACTCAGTAATTTCAGAATTGAGCTCTCATGTGACTCAACAATTCCACTCTGGGCCATCTATCTCGAAGGCAGGAAAAACATTCATTCAAAAGGACAATTGCACACCACTATTCATTGCAGCACTCATATTATAACTAAGATTTGGAATCAACCTGGCTGCCCAACAACAGATAAATTGTTCATGAAGATGTGGTACATATCCACAGTGGAATACTACACAGCTGTAAGGAATGATAAAATCAGGCAATTTGCAGCAGTATGGATGGAATTGGAAAACATTATGTTAAAAGAAGTAAGTCAGAATAAGGATAAAAACAGGATGGCATCGCTTACTTGTGGTATTTAGAATAACAGGATGAGGGAATGAAATGTTTTAAAGGGGGTTTCCCAGGCCAAACTGGGCTGCAGAAGAAAGGGAGGAAAAGGAAAGAAAGAGTGGAAGGGATAGGAAGAAGAAACAGATCAGTGAGCAGGGGGTCTTTTTATTATTGATCATCGATTTGCTCGAGCAGGCTCAGTAACATCTCCACTGGAGACTTTGTTGTTACTGTGTCTGGCATATCAAATACATCACGGGGAGCTTGCCAGGCTCTGCCGTGCGGGTGAGATACTCTCGGTAGCTTGCCGGGCTCTCCGAGAGGGGCGGAGGAATCGAACTCGGGTCGGCCATGTTGGCTGCGTGCAAGGCAAACGCCCTACCGCTGTGCTACCACTCCAGCCCTTTTTATTATAGTCATCTTTTTTTTTAAATTGAATCATCATGAGTCACACAGTTACAAAATTGATCTTTATTGGGTTTCAGTCATACAGTGTTACAAAACCTGCCTTGTTATCAGTGTACATTACACACCACCAATGTCCCCAGTTTCTCTCCCAACCCTCATTGCCCTGCCCGCCTCTTTCCTCTCTCTCTCTCTCTCTCTCTCTCTCTCTCTCTCTCTCTCTCTCTCTCTCTTCCTCTCTTCCTCTTTCTTTTTGAACATTATGGTCTGCAATACAGGAAGTGAAAGGTTATCATGTCTATCCCTTTACCTCCTTTCAGAATCCAGTTCTTGTCCAGAATGATCATTTCTAACTATCACTGTCATAGTGGTCCCTATTCTCTCCTATCTAATCATCATTTTCATACCCATATTGAAGCTTATTAAATTTGATCTAGATTCATTTGTTTACTTTTGCTCCTGTTTTCTTTGCCAAAGGCATTTCACTGTCACTGTCCTCCCGTTGTTCATCGATTTGTTCGAGCGGGCCCAGTAACGTCTCCATTGGAGATTTTGTTGTTACTGTGTTTTGGCATATCGAATACATCACGGGTAGCTTGCCAGGCTCTGCCATGTGGGCGAGATACTCTCGGTAGCTTGCCGGGTTCTCTGAGAGGGGCGGAGGAATCGAACTCAGGTCGGCCATGTTGGCTGTGTGCAAGGCAAACGCCCTACCGCTGTGCTATCACTCCCACAACGGATAGGGCGTTTGCCTTGCACATAGCCAACATGGCCAAAGGCATGTACAACTTAATGGTTTTTTACTATATTTTCAATATTGTATAAGGGACCTAAAATCTAAGTCTAGAATATTTTCATGACCCCCCAAATCAACTTTTATTTAGCAACATTCTCCCATTTTCTTCCAATATTTTATTCAAACTGTACCTCATTACCATCAGTGTTTGTTTCCATTTCAAAATCTATAAAAGAAAATAATATTAATTGAACATTTCCAAAGTCTCTAATTCTATTATTATAGGTGCGAGTTATATGAGCAAAATCTAATTAAAAGTCAATGATCCAAACAAATAATAAAATGATAGACCTAAACACTGCTCTGCTATTACATTAAGTGTAAATTGCCTAGACACATGGAAATTGTCAGAGTGAATTAAATAAATTAATTACCTAACTCTGTACTGTCTACAAGAAATTTAAATACACATGTACAAAAAGAAGAAAAGTTTTACAAACAAAACATGCCATACAGAAACTAATTAAACAGCAATTCTGTTATACTGGACTTTAGAAAATATATTCCAGGAACAAGAAATAACATTTGCTGACAATTAAAGAGTTAGATGTTCACCAAGAAGATAATAAACCTCAAAGCAATAATAATCAATCCACCAGATCATATGCACCAAAAATAATGTTCGGATACATGAAAAGAAAGACAAAGGAACTGAAAAGAGAAATAAATAAAATCACAATAATACTTGGACAAATTAATAATTCCTCTCTCTGTAGAGGATTCATCAGAGTGAATATCAGGGAGATGGAACATATAAAATCTACCAAGAAAACAGATCTGATTTGTTTTTCTGGAACACTCCAGTTACTAGTACATATTTTTCCCAAGTGCCCTAGGGATAAACTGAAGAGCATGTATCTACTAACTCATGGATTAAAGGAGAAACAGTAAATAAAAATTGGAAAAATTATAAAACTAAAAAAAAAACTTGAAATATCAACTTTGATATAAAGTGTGATAAATTCAAATAATATTGTGCTCAAGAACAGAAATCAAAAACAGGCAAGGAGAGAAAATCAGTCAACTAAAAATGATCATTTGAAAAATAAATAAAAATGATTAATCTCAAACAGTGTCAAAGAATAAAAGAATATTCTCCAGCAGCCAAAGTCCTGGAAGCAAAAGCTGTATCATGCTGATACATTTCACATTCATGCTGAAGGCACTGAGAGCGTCTTGGAGGTAACTCAAGGGATTGAGTGCATTCTTTGTGTGAGGGAGATTCTGGTTTCATCCCCAGCAGCACATGTTCGCCATGCAACGCCAGGAGTGACCACCAAGCAGTGATCTGGGAGTACTCCTTCCCATACACAGCACTGGGGGCAGGTCAAAAAGCAAACAACAAAGGCAAAGCAAGAATATTGCATATAGCTCTCTGCATATAGTATACAAGTTGTATAAATTGCACTATTTTACTGAATAACACAAACGGCGAAAACTCATCCAGAATAGAACAGGCACTTTGAGCAGTCCAATATCAAT